AATGAAAGAAAAAAGTTGCAGAACACTACATATTGGGATATCATTTTAGCAAGCTCAAAAAGAAACAAAACTAAACAATGTATATGTAAGTGGTAAAACTGGAAAAAATGTTTAGTATAAAAGTCAGGAGAATGGGGGCGCTTGGGTGGCTCAGTCGTTAAGTGTCTGCCTTTGGCTCAGGTCATGATCCCAGGGTGCTAGGATTGAGGCCCGCATTAGGCTCCCCGCTCTGCGGGAAGCCTGCTTCTCCCTCTCCTGCTCCCCCTGCTTGTGTTCCTTCTCTGGCTGTCTCTCTCTCAAAAAGTCAGGAGAATGGTTATCTGTTGCACAGGTAAATGCAGCAGTGTTGTTACTATTTTATTTCATAAATTGAAAGGTGGATTTAATTTGTCTTTATAACGTATGTATGTAATTTTATTCATTTGTAGATTAAAAATATTACATGCAAATTTAACATGTTAAACTTAGCCTTAATTCCACCAGAAGAAAAAAAAGAATAAACTAAAACAAGGGGCGCCTGGGTGGCTCAGTTGGTTAAGCATCTGCCTTCGGCTTAGGTCATGATCCCAGGGTCCTGGGATCGAGCTCCACATCAGGCTGTCTGCTCAGCGGGAGCCTGCTTCTCCCTCTCCCTGCTGCTTGCCCTGCTTGTACTCTCTCTCTCTCTCAAATAAATAAATAAAATCTTTAAAAAAAAAAAAAAGAAATTAAAACAAGCATTTCCTCATCCCTTTAGCTAAAAACTTGTCCAGGTATCAAAAGCCAGCAGTCAGGGCCATAGGTCTTGGCATTTCCCAATCCTGACAAAGGTTTCTTAGTTGTTGGCTAAGAAGCCAGTAGAGGCTTCATAGACCCTCTTTCAAGCCATGTTGGTAAGAAAAATGTGCAGTGTCTCCATGTTAAAACAATCCAGGCGGGTGCCTGGGTGGCTCAGTCGTTAAGTATCTGCCTTCGGCCCAGGTCATGATCCCAGGGTCCTGGGATCGAGCCCCACGTCAACCCCCTCTCCCGCTCCCCCTGCTTGTGTTTCCTCTCTTGCTGTCTCTCTCTCTGTCAAATAAATAAATAAAATCTTTTTTAAAAATTAAAAAATAAAACAATCCAGGCATATAATATTTTATTTCAGTGGGTTGCTAACTAATAAGCACAGAAGAGGGATTCTTTAGTGAAGTCGGAGTCTCACTGATGCCAGCTGAATCGAGAAATACACATATCTATTGTAATATTGTTTATATTTTTTTCAGAGCCCTGGGCTTTGGTCAGGCCAATTCATCTTAGCCAATTAATGACTTAAAGTTTTAATGTTAAAGTGTAAAACAATAGGTCATGGGATTAAGTAAAGATGCTTTTAAGCACTGTATGGTCTCCTACTCTACCTCAAGGATATTCATCTTTGTTTCTCCAGTATCTGGCATAAGTAGGAACTCAGTGAATGTATGCTGAATGCAACTGAACTGGCCGCAGTTAAAATGTGTCTTCGTGAAGTATGGTTTCCCACTCCCAGTGTCCTCACTGGGCCTCTGGCTCATACCAAAACAGGGGCTCTTGTAGTAGTATGTTGAATATGTCAGCAAGTAGGCCTTTGTGTGGCCCCCCTCTCTGGGAGCACAAGCAGCTACCTAAGAATGCCCTTTTCACAATAGTCAGATAGAAACCTAACAGAAAACATAACATTGAAGAGAACAGGAAAGAAAGAAAACTGCAAATATAACCCATTTAATTAAGTTATGCCTCTCTCTTAGCTTTTGCAATAGGATCTGTATTCTACTCTGTTGTTATGTTCTGTTGCTTTAGCATATTCAAAGCTTATGAATCCATTTTTCTAAATCATATTCAAAGAAGTATACTGTCTTAATTTTCAGGGTTCTTTTAACAGTGTATTTTCTACTTTGTATACACGATATAGAAAGTCCCCCTGAAATTATTTTTTATTTACATATTTTAGGAACTGGAAATGTGAGGGTCTTGCAAAGAAAAGGACACAGTTATGGGATAGATGGTGGGGAGGATTGGAGAGAAATTAAAAAAATCTTCACTTGTTTGTAATGAAATTTTGAAGAATGATAATAAATTAAGGTGTTGTAATGTAGTGGTATAATATATTGGGGAAAGTATCAAAGTAAGAATTTTGCAGAATTTGTTTCTCCCCATTTTTACTAATAAATAGCTGAGTGATATTAGGAAGATCCTTTAAACATCATTTTCTTGTCTGTGATATGAGTATATAAGCACATGTGTTAAGTGTGTATCACAAATGCATGCACACGCGTTCACACTTTTATATAAAACCTCTTTGTTATAGGAGGAGGTTAGGAAGACACTAAATCTTGTCACCGCAGAGATTAAATAAAGAGCCTCTACTGTCGGATAATATAAGTTTGAAAATTACAGAAGAGCACTTTAGGCCTTCCCCCGCCCCTAAAGAGGAGAAACTTCACCCAAAGATGTCTGAGACCTGGTTCCAATTCAAGTGGATTAAATTCTTATTCAGGAAGGAAGGTGCAACTACGGCAGAGCAGTCTAGAAGTATTGGCTGATTCCCTGTTAGAAAATCCGTAAGCAGTAATTCTGATCTTGCCTGGAGATTATAAGGGAGAATATTCATATGATCAGCTCTGGGACAGGAATGTGCTTTAGAAGCACATTTTAGAAGTGTTTTACTCCTACGAGAGCCCTCCAGAGATTTCTGAGACCTCAGAGTCTGACTGGCAGATGGTGCCTTGTTACAACTGAGTCGGAATTTTAAGTGTCATTTCTGTGGTAAGTCAAATATTTCAGTACAGATAGTCATATTTTAATTAAACCTGATTCGGGGCAGATTTTTCTCAGAACATCCTTCTACCTGTTTATGCTTGTCTTACCTTTTTGGGGAGTCAATAGTTTTTACCTCATCAAGACCATGAGTTTAAATTTACTGTACTGAGTATGCTTCTAGGCTTTCTGAAGTAGCAGCCCAAGTACTCACTCCAAGATACAGCAAGTCCAGGCGCTCCTCGTATGTGAGCCCTTCCTGATCGAGTGTAGCATAGAGTGAGAATTCTGCTCACATCAGCTGCTGAGACTTGTCATGAGCCTAAGCTCAGGGCCATTGTGACCAGGTGAACCCAAGAACCCAAGTACTAGGACACTGCTGTCCAGCACTGTGCCCAGCTTCTGCCTTGGCTCACTGCCCTGCTGGAAAGGCCCTCTGCTCGGGATCTCCGCCTGCATATTTGGGTCCTTCACAACTTACCCAGCTCTCTCTAGGCCCTTCTTATGGGGGATTTTTTTCCTCTGTCCCTGCTACATATAGCTCCTGCTTAGATGCTCCCCAACCTTACAACACCCAGTATTATATCTTCTAGAAACTCCTATTCCTGTGCCCCACACCTCAGGACATACTTCCTGGTGCTGTTAAAACCAGCCTTGATCAACCCAGGTTAATCACTTGCACATGAACACTGTGACTTGAACTGTTAGCCATCCCTAAGGGAGCCAGCCCACAGCCCTGTTATCTCCCTGGCCATTATGGGTTTCTTCCTGTTGCAGGCACCTACTGCTGGGATCCCAGTGTGTGCCAATACCAGTTAGGAAGGGTTCCAACCCCAGTCATGCCAGCATGCTCAGAAGTTCTCCAAGGATATAAACGGAGGTTATTATGGAAAAAGGTATCTAACTGTTCTCTGCCTCCACTGAGAATAAACGCAGAGGAAACAGTGAGTAATGTGCACAAAAGTGCTTTAGTACTAGAACATAAAATTTTTTATTGATAGGTAAAGTGAAATACAGATCGTTGTATTAAGTAGTACCCTCAGTTAAAATACAGCTATTGGGGGGGGCCTGGGTGACTCAGTTGGTCAAGCATCTGCCTTCGGCTTAGGTCATGATCTCAGGGTCCTGGGATTAAGCCCCTGTGTAGAGCTCCTTGCTCAGTGGGGAGTCTGCTTCTCCCCCTCCCTACCCTCCCTCTGCCTCTCCCCCCTACTCATGCATGTTCTCTTTCTCTCTCCCCCCCAAATAAATAAATAAAAGCTTTAAAAAAAATAAAATACAGCTATTTGCCCACTGCAACAAAATGTGAAAAATTACAGTTACTGCAGCAAAAGCATTAACACCAACAATCTAAAATGCAGGCTCTAGGGGCGCCTGGGTGGCTCAGTTGGTTAAGCAACTGCCTTCGGCTCAGGTCATGATCCCAGAGTCCCAGGATCGAGTCCCGCATCAGGCTCCCTGCTGAGCAGGGAGTCTGCTTCTCCCTCTG